ATTGGAACGGAGACTTCTGCATAAAGGACCTCTGTCTCAAAGGACAGTAAAGTAAGACAAAATGGAGGTAGAAGAGAGAGAATGCAGAAGAATCAATCTGCAGCATAACTGAAGAGCACAAGGTACAAACAAAATTTTTAAGCTTGTCAGAGAGAAAGGAGAGATCATCTAAAAGGAACAATAACTAGTCTGGCAGCAACAACTAGACTGGTTTGCTGAGAGAAAACCATTGTCTAGGTAGAATTTGATACCTACTTAAATTATGTATTTAAGAATAGGGTGAAATGAAGGCATTTTTCAGAAAACCCAAACCTGAGAGTTATCACCAAAAGAGGCTCATTGAGGGAACTTTTAAAAGTATACATTAGGATAAAGAAAAACACGATCCCAGGAGGAAAGTCTGAGATTTGTACAACAACGATAATGTCTGATTTGGAAGTTAATAAGATGGTGCTAAAATATTGAGTAACAATAACTTTTAAGACAAAAGGATGGTGATTAGCCATCCTAAGGCCCCTGGATAGTTTGGGACGGAGGGTGGAGCTGTTGACTTAGATTTTCAGTACACATACTGAAATTTAACAATAATCATTAACAAGAGAAAAAGAGTGTCTAACTTCCAAAACAATAGAGGGGAAATGTGGAATCAAAAGAATAATCTAAGAGAAAATAAGAAGGGGGGGAAGATATAGAAAAAGCAGGATAGAGATTACAAAGTAAATTGGCAAACAGAATTCCACATACCGACAATTAATTAAAACCACAAAAAAGTGTAAATGATCTAAACTCACCACTGAAAAGAAAGATATCCTCAGATTGGACTAAAATGAAACAAAACAAAACAATCCAGATATCTGCTATATCCTAGAGAACTTAAAATACAAAGACATTGGTATATCAGAAATAATTAATGGGGCACCTGGGTGGCCCAGTCGGGTAAGTGTCCGACTCTTGGTTTCGGCTCAGGTCATGACCTCACAGATTGTGAGATCAAGCCCGGCATCAGGCTCTGCACTGCCGGTGCAGTGAGCAGGGGAGGGGCAGGGAGAGAGGGAGACGCAGAATCTGAAGCAGGCTCCAGGCTCTGAGCTGTCAGCACAGCGCCCAACGCCAGGCTCGAACCCACGAACTGTGAAATCACGACCGGAGGTGAAGTCGGACACTTAACCAACTGAGCCACCCAGGGGCCCCTAAAAACATTTTTTTAAATCAATATTACCTGCTGGAATAAACAACCCCTAAGATCACTGGGGCTTAACACAACAAGGTTTCATTTTTGCTCACATCATAGTTCATTAGGCCAGGCTGCTGCTCTGGCTGTCATTCCTTCAATCAGTGACATAGGAATCTGGGATCTGTTGATCCTAGTTCTGCCATCTTGGAGTTCTTTGCCTTTGCCTTGCCTTATATGAGAGAGCACATATAAGTCTATGCATGGCATTTTAGGGGCCAAGCCTAGAAGTGGCATAGATCTCTTCTGCCCACATGCCTCAGTGGTCCCAACATAACTGCAGAGAGCTGGGCAATGTGGTCCTGTGTTTTCCCAGGAAGAAGAAATGGAATTGGTGAGCGTCTAGCCAGGCCCTGACACATAAAAAGGTTGAAAATACAAAAAGATGGAAAATGATATTCCAGGTAGACACTAAGCAGAAGAAAGCTGGGGTGGCTGTCTATATTGGGCAAAATTGTCCTCAAAGCAAATGTGTTATTAGAAATAAAGATAGTAACTACATAAAGATAATGTTCAACTTGCCAGGAAGAGACACTCATTCTGAAATTATAGATGTATCCGATGATATCTTTAAGTAACATAAAGCAGAAATTGACAGAATTATGAGGAGAAAACACTATATATACCTTGCTCACTAATTGTTGTCATGCAGACCAAAAATTAGTAGTATATAGAAAATGTAAATAATACAATTAACGAGCTCAACCAAAAGGACACAAATAGAAACTTGTATCCAACTACAGAAAATGTGCACTTTTTAAAAAATTTTTTTTAACATATATTTATTATTGACAGACACAGAGAGACAGAGCATGAGCAGGGGAGGGGCCGAGAGACAGGGAGACACAGAATCCGAAGCAGGTTCCAGCTCTGAGCTGTCAGCACAGAGCCCGACGCGGGGCTCAGACTCACAAACCGTGAGATCATGACCTGAGCCGAAGTCAGATGCTCAACCGACGGAGCAACCCAGGAGCCCCTGCACTTTTTTCTTAAGAGTGCAAGAAACATGAATGAAAACTGACCATGTACTTGGCTATAAAGTCAGTAAGTTTCCCAGAATTGGTATCAAATTATGTTCTCTGATTACAGGGATTACAGGGCAATTAGGTTAAAAATAAGTAACAGAAAGATAACCAAAAGTAAAAAGATTGTATGAACATGTTCACTCTAGTGTTAATCACCAACAACAGTGAAAAATTAGAATCACTGAAATATCCAATGATATGGGTATGGTTAAGTACATTTTGCCACATCAACCCAATGGGCTACCATGTGGCCATTAAAAATTATTTTTTAAATGCACTATGTTTAGATATAATATTAAGTAAAAATTTTAAATCTGTAAGTTACTTATAATTACCACCATGTGAACATATGTGTGTATTTATTTTTTAAGTTATTCATTTATTTTGAGAAAGAGAGAGAGAGAGAGAGAGAGAGAGAGTCCCAAGCAGGCTCCTCACCACCAGCACAGAGCCCTATGTGTAGCTCGAACCCACAAACTGTGAGATCATGACCTGAGCTGAAACCAAGAGTCACACACTTAATCTACTGAGCCACCCAGGTGCCCCCAAATATGTGTGTATTTAGATTAGAAAGATAAAAGCAAATGAAAACAGTTGTTATAGTGATGAGATCATGTGTAATTCTACCTTTAAAAAGATTTTCTGTGATGTGGTTACACTGTTTAATGTGAGTTAAGATAATCAATAGAAGACATGATCTCTGTCTGGCAGCTGATGCTACTTATGCCTTAATATCCATTATCCTTTTCTTTCATAACAATAGAATTTTAGTTGGGTACATATCTGCCCCAAACAAGTGTACATTTCCCAGTCTCCCTTGTAGCGAGGCATTGCAGTGGGACAAAGTCAGAGCCAATGAAATATGAGAAGTGGGTGCCCTGAAATGTAAAGACTCTGTCCTTCCTTTGTCTTCTTCTTTCATCTTGTTATCTCAAATCTTCCTTAGTTTTGTTGTTACACATACTATGGATAGACTGAACTGGATATACATTTGATTGAATGAGGGACTGCCTCCCAGTTTAATGAATGACAGTACATATGACTCATGAGGACAAATACGTGTTTTCTATTCAACCAGTGTCCAGTACAAGGTCTGAAAACAAGGGGATTGTCCATCCTAATTTTGGATATCAAATGATAATATATTATAGTGAAGAGTACATGTTTATATTAAATATATTCTAGTGGAAATCATATGCATTTACTCCAATATTCCTTATCATTTAAGAGAACGTTTTAACAGGGGTACCTGGATGGCTTAGTCCGTTAGGCGTCCGACTCTTGATTTTGGCTCAGATCATGATCTTACGGTTTGTGACTTCGAGCCCCACATCAGGCTTTGTGCCGACAGCACGGAGCCTGCTTGGTATTCTCTCTCTCTGCCGATCCTCATCTCGTGCTCTCTCTCTCAAAATAAATAAATGAACATTTAAAAAAAGAGAGAGAGAATGTTTATGGGGCACCTGGGTGGTTCATTCCGTTAAGTATCTGACTTCGGCTCAGGTCATGATCTCATGGTTTGTGAGTTTGAGCCCTGCGTTGGGCTCTGTGCTGACAGCTTGGAGCCTGGAGCCTGCTTTGGATTCTGTGTCTCCCTCTCTCTCTGTCCCTCCCACGCTCATGCTCTGTCTCTGTCTCAAGAATAAACATTTAAAAAATTTTTAAAAAAGAGAGGATGTTTTAAAAGCAAATGAGATCCATTTATAGGCTGCTTTGCCTGAGTTAAATCAGCAGTCGATCTTCACATTTTAAATTGTAAACCAAATAAAAAATTGTATTTTTATAGTTCAATAAAGAATACACTTTGTTTAATTATCATGGCTGCTGGTAAGGTTTGATATAATCCAATAGCCTAGATCACAAGAAGTATCAATAATTTATACTATATCAGGAATAAAATTATCAATTCAAAAGGAAATTGATGAATATTCCTCAAAACAATTTTAATATTTGAAAAATATTCACATACAAGTTGAAAGCATGCACAACGTTCTGCCCCAGATCCTTAGGATCCTGGATAATGATTAGGTATGCTATGTCATGCCTACTGTAGCAAAAAATTCATTATTATTTTTATTATAATTTAGAATAGGTCTATCACAAGGTGCTCTGTGAAGACAACATGCCAGTTTAAAAAAAAAAAAAAGGAACTGGAAGCTGACTCAAGAGCAACCTTTTCTTCTGTGAATTCTGATATTTATGCTAAGCATGACCTGTTCAGATGCTTTTCAAAAATGAAGGAAAATCAAAATTGAATAAAAATTCCAGGCACTAATTTGCACATCATTTCTTGACTCAAACTGTATACAGCTAGTTCGAGGGCATCTACTAGAAATAATTTATTCAGATTAAAATTTTGTCAGTAAAAAATATTTGTACTTCTAGTAATACAAAAAGGGCTTAAGAATCAGTCACACATTTATTTGGTTAAGAGAGCATCCTGAGGGCTTGTGGACATTTCATTGTCCTTTAATACTCATATTAGCAAGACAAGCACATTGTTAAATGATTTGGGTTTCTATCAGTTAGCTGTGCATTAATATGATGGAGAACTATTAATACATAAGCCTTGACACCAGGCAAATAATTCCTTTTCTTCTTTTTTCAATTCCTCATCTGACATGGGTTCAACCCTCATGATGTCAGAAGATGGGGAGGAGAAGATGACTGTCTTTTTTTGCTTTTTACGTGATGTATCTGTCTGTGGTTCCTAGGTAGAATTATAAATAAAAGATGGAAAAAAACTGGTTTTTACTACTTTGTTTTCATAGTGACTGTTTATACTTAGCCTCCTCGTAAAAAACTTAGAGCAGATTCTTTAAGAATTACAAAGTAACACATCAATACGCACTGGTTGTCAATATTCCTACAATGTAGGAATATACTGAGGGCGACTTTACACATACCGCTTTTGTAAGTTTAGATAGAAATGGATTTTGTTTTGACAAAAATCACCATTAGCATCATGCTGAATTGACAGCGTCAACGTACAGAGACGACAGTTTTTCATTGCTGCTGTTGTTGTTCACCACCTCATACTGATGCGGAGCCCAAACAGCCAATATTTATCAGGTTAGCTCTATTGTTGAAGAATTTTTAAAACATGGGGCACCAAGAGGAACATAGCTTTAGACTATCTAAGTAGATACCAAAGGCATTTCAACCTTCACCTTGGAGATAAGGAAAATTCTACTTATAGAAGTAGAATTACTTACAGTTTGAATAGTGTACAAAACAATGAATTCAGTACAAGTTCAACTTACAGTCCCCACAGACGCATTTTTTTCTTTAGCCATCTTGTAAGCTTTTTTCATTTTTTCAAGTTTCATTTGAGCTTGCTTAGATCGACGACCCAGATGTTGAATTTGACTCTGCTGTTGGTAGGGCCCATACAAAGGTTGGCTAGCTGGAAAGGATGAAGGGCATCTAGAAAAGATTTGTATTATAGACAGAAAAAAATGCACAAAATAACATTTAAATGTACAGCAAGTTCCCTATTTTTTTAAAGCATCTTCCAGCAAATGTATCATAGACCTCAGTTTTTGGAGCAGTACTGCATGTAATTTTTTAGGCCAAAGTTATCATTTCTGCTTAAATTCCACAGCACAGTTCCTTATCTGTCACCTGTGAAGGTGTATATATGAGGACGTGGACCACAATGACGGTGAAAATGATAAAACATGGTATCAATCTAAAATCCGTTTTCCTGGAAAATACCATGTAGTAGCCACTTGAATCTTTTTTAACATACCATATACTAACACCAAAAAATGGGTAAATTTCATAATGGCCGAAAACAAGCTGTTTTTATCAGTGCTGGGATCAGATACAGGTGGTGCCACGCCCTAAGCCTTACCACTGCAAAGCACATAGGCCCAGCTTCCAAATGACAGCATTGGCCTCACTCAGCCCGAGGGCTTGCTTGTGAAAACAGGAGCCCATGTGTGGAGGAAGTGCCCGAGAATTACTACCTCACCTCCTAAGCAGTCCTTAGCCAATGACTACTGCACATTGGCGTATACATATCCCAGCTCCCTTGCCCCCGCAGGATAAGTTGAGTCACGTGTTCTACAATGGCTTGGACATTCCCGGGAGGGATTAAACTCCACTTACCCGCAGAGATAACCTGTTTGCTGACACACACTGTTTCGGCAGCCTGCCCCTCCCTGTTTCCCTTCCATGGATGGTTCTGGGGATCACCTCCCAGATAACTACTCATACTCAAATCTTTGATCTCCCAGGAGATCCCAAACTAATACTGCATTCATAGAAACCTGTAAGAAAATACTTTTACCTCTTTAATTGATTTAGAATTTGGCTACTTAATTTGGCTCTTCCAGTGACTCATCTTAGACAATCAATGGCAAGGGTTCAAATAGCAAGGAGCCGACGGTTATACATGGTGGCAGAGAAAATTACATCATTTATTTGGCCTTGGTGGTAATAGGGTTAAGTTCTATATTTAGTGCTTATATGGATGAGTTAGAGAAAGTCTATTTCATGATGACAGACTGCCCCCTACACCAGGCCATCTGTCTGGCAAATGTATACCCTTGATCATAAAATATACGGGCTAAATTATATTATTGGGGCAGCACCACTCATCTCTAGCCCTGAAAAAATCCAGCGCATTTGCCTGATGCTGGGTCACCAGTGTCTTCTTCATGTACTAACCGAGTATTTTTTTCCTTTCAAGTATGACTCTGTGGAAATTGACTACCAATACATCCTCTTCAATCTGATTACTTCTTTCTTTTTCTCAAGAAAGAAAGCTCTTCACTTGTAAATAAGATGGGCTAGGTGAAACTTGTAATGGAAAAAAAAAAGGAATATAATGAGAGCAGTCGTATTCTGTCCATACTGTTTCAGATCATAATACAGTCTATTTTGCTACAACATGAGTTTCTATAATGTGAATTGGCTCACATGTTATTGCTAAAGAACGGAATAATGTCACTGTAATTTATATGCAATTTGTCCTCAGCAAGGAGAGCCGGGATAGCAAGAGGAGAATTAGAACCTTCGGCAGAAAAGGAAAGAAGGTCCTCAGCCCTGTGTGCCACAGGCAACGGGAGCCCTTTTGGCTGTATTTATGAAAACGAGAATTAGCACCTGCATCTAGGGCTCTCTCCCCAGAGTGGCACCCCTCAGCCCACGATCCACCCTTACGGTGCTCCACCATACTCCCCACCTTGAGGGGGTTTTGGTTATTGGCAGGTTGCCCAGCCTCTCGTGTCCACTTACAAGGCAACCACACTAGCCCAGGGCCACACTTCCATCTGCGCTAGCACCGTGCCCACTACCTGCTCTCATTAAAGAGATGCCAGAATTTCCACTCGATTGTTCTACATGTTTTATATTTTCTGTGCTGGCCTCCAGCCATCCTGAGCTGCCTGTCTGCTGGTGCAAGTTATCTCCCCAGGTTCCAATTGTCCTTTTTGTTAGTGTTCTGTTTACAAAGATGCAGAAGTTTAGAGCAATCTGCCCCAACCCTGTTTTTCCCATATGCCCTATTATTATCTTTCATGAGCTATTTGGCAGAAAGTGAACATTTTCAGAAATGCCCCTAGTATCGCAACCCAGGTAAAATGTCACTTTTACCTAACTTCAGAAACAATCCGTAGCTGGTGCTTACGCATCTCTTCCGTTTGTGGCTTCTGTAACAGATACTTCATTTCTGTTTGTAGACAGTGTGAGATTATTCCAGACTCTGCATAATGAACTATGTCATATATTATCATCGTCCTGGGGATGTTTTTGAGGTTTAATTTTCGCCAGTAGTTATTTCTGCCACCATAGGATGCAGGAGTCTCATCCAGAAGACTGGAGTACTATATGGAAACAACAGGTAAGAATGATTGGTTGTGGGTACTCTAGAATGTTTTTAGACACATTTCTCAAGGTTCACGTGTCCAATGTCACTTCATCAAAAAGCATTCCCTGATCCCATCTCTGAACTTTATCAGCAACATTCTTCTATGGCTTCTTACCGACTACTTGATGTTTTAGTTATCTGTGTACTTAGCTCCCCACCGGAAGTGTGCAGGGTCCTTGTCACGCAGTATCATGTACACAGTACCACACTCACTAAGTCTTTATTTAATGCATAAACATTTTAATGGCAAATATATGATCTGCATACCTGGTGGTACTTGTTCCTAACATGCTTAGGTTGAGAGGACATTTGCATAAGCCTTTTCAGAAATAATGAGTTCATCTCTGGTACTAAGGGTCGAATTTCACTATTTTCATTTATAGTATTTGTAGAAATCCCACTGCTATTTATTTTTTGAATTTAAAATACCAAATTAGGAAGGTTAAAATTCAAATATGTATAATCAATTCAACCTTATAAAATGTTCATTTAAGAAATAAAATAGGGGAGATGCTCTAGCCACTGCCCTTACCACGGCAGCCATGATCTCCCTAACGGACACCCAGAACGCTGGAATGGGATTAACAAGATTTGGAGTGTTTTTCCTGTTCTTTGGAATGATCCTTTTTTTTAATGTTTATTTATTTTTGAGAGAGACAGAGACAGAATGCGAGTGGGCTAGGGGCAGAGAGAGAGGGAGACACAGAAGCAGAAGCAGGCTCCAGGCTCTGAGCTGTCAGCACGGAGCCTGACGCGGGGCTTGAACTCATAGACCTTGAGATCATGACCTGAGCCGAAGTCAGACGCCCAACCGACTGAGCCACCCAGGCGCCCCATGATTCTCTTTTTTGACAAAGCACTACTGGCTATTGGAAATGGGCTTCTTTCCTGTGGTCACTGGCTTTATTAGAAGAGTGCCAGTCCTTGGATCCCTTTTGAATTTATCTGGAATTAGATCATTTGTAGATAAAGTTGGTAGCAACAATATGGTATAACAACAAGTGAACTGAAGACTCATTTAAAATATTGTATTATTTATAAATCCTTTGAGGAATATCCAGCACAAAATGAAATGACATGAAATAGCTTGTAATGTTCTTTACAGAAGTTTAAAACGTACAGTCTACAAAGTACCAATAGCAGTTAACAAAGAAGAACTGAGAACAGGCTTCTAATCAAGTGATCTGAGAAGTCAGCAAGCAAACTAAAGGAGATGAAATCTATGTTACAATACTTATTGAAACTCTTGAAGGCGATTTTTATTGTTTATCCACAATGTGTGAAACACAGCCGTCCTTGGAGAACTGCAGTGCCTGTTTCTTTCCTTTTTATTTTGAGGGTGCAGGAACACGCATAGGCATTTGTTTTTTAGAAATATCCACTGGAATGGCAAAAATATTTCTAGTTGCACTGTGTCTCTGAAAGTGATGCATGAGTTAGCTTGGATTATGTCATTTTAATGTATTAAACCCAAGAAAAACCTAGTTTTGATGGACGAATCACCTTTTTTTAATATATAAATGTATGGCTAAAATAAAACATTGGTGGTTCTTCTGATTCCTAATATTTTAAAGCCAGATGAAAATCTGAACTAGATATTCACTGTTGGAATACACAAAGGTCATTTATTCTTCATAAATGAACACTCAGAACTACTCATGTGTCTTGAGAGTCTGACCTGATTATCTGTATCCTACATTATATGTAAGCATCTAACAAAAAGAGTTCTTGACCATGAAGTAGTCTGTTACATTGAATAGTCTTTTATTTAAGATACTAAATGATGCAAACCTAATGGATTTTTCCATGTCATGGTGTTTTCCTTTCTTTCTTTCTTTCTTTCTTTCTTTCTTTCTTTCTTTCTTTCCTTCTTTCTTTCTTTCTCTTTTTTTAATTTTAGCAGTGGTTTTACTATTTTGCTTTTCATAAATCAAATAACTATTGGTAATGTTTACTTTAAGATGTAATATGTTAAAAGGTTAAACTTATAGGTATTTGTTAAGGGCTTTTCATGTAAGGCCGAGTTTTCTTTTATTTTTAGCCTTTTCATAACATAAAAATCAATACACATGATGAATGCTTCATAAGATACTTTGTCTTGAGTTCATGGAGAAAATATCTGAATTCACATGCTAAAGTTAGTTTACAGTAATTAAATGGGCTATAGTTTCTTAAAAACATGACACTAAAAAAATGTGTTGTTTTTTCTACTATTGATGCTTGACTGGCAGTAAGAAACAATAGTTGTTTCTTAGTAGTTTTCCAAGCTGGCAACTTTTCTTTTTTTTTTTTTTTTAATTTTTTTTTTTTAACGTTTATTTATTTTTGGGGGACAGAGAGAGACAGAGCATGAACGGGGGAGGGGCAGAGAGAGAGGGAGACACAGAATCAGAAACAGGCTCCAGGCTCTGAGCCATCAGCCCAGAGCCCGACGCGGGGCTCGAACTCACGGACCGCGAGATCGTGACCTGGCTGAAGTCGGACGCTTAACCGACTGCGCCACCCAGGCGCCCCAAAGCTGGCAACTTTTCTGGTAGATGTAAGAACACATTTCAACAGCCATAGTACTATTTGTTTTACCACTAATGACTGCACTATTTACCTTTTTTTTAAACAGTTGCAAAGCTTTTTAATGCGCAAAATTATAATTTAAATCTGTGATTTTTATTTACAAACATGTCTACAAAATATATCATAGATTGCATTATTTTTGTATGCACAATGCACAAAGAACTCCCATTTCTGCTTGTCAAAAGAAGGAAAGACTTGGTCCACAGTTTAATAGTTCAGTCTTGTGGATTACTGTCTTTTGGTACTGGCATTTGACTTATGACATAATCAGTGAAACTAGATGATATTGACAAAATGAGACTCCTACCTCAATAGTTCATGGAATAATAAAAGACCTAGTGTTGTGTCTAATGTTCTTCAAAAAAGTAATATCCTCATTTGGAGAGTGTCAGATATATACATATTTTGGGGATCGACTTATACAAGTTGCCCTGTAGGACTCTTCTACATATTTTTGACTGATCCATATTATTTTCAGTGGCTAGATAATTCTACCTTTTTAGAACAAGAACAGTATCTGTTAATGTAATGAACATTTGTATTATTTAGCTCCTCTGTAGACATGTATTTCTACCAAAATGTTCTTTGCACCGTAACAGATAACTTTTTCAAAATCTTATTTCATAAGCATTATTAGAAGTTGTGTAAAGGATTTGATAATTTCCCAGTCTTTAGTAAGACTGAGGGGCTGGAGCAGTTTTCAGTTTTCAAAGAGCCAACAGTTAATCTCAAATTTGAGTTTGGGACTGCTTGGCAGCACTATTTCTTATTCAGAACCACTGATGAGGCTCTATTTTTAAACATATTAGTCTTCTGACAGAAATCACTGTACACTGTATTGTTTCTTCCTTTCCAAAATGAGCCTTCTTTGTGACAAAAATGTACTTTGATTATTGCTATACAGATGGAGGAAAAGGTCTAATACTACCTAGCCTTAAGTGTATCTGGCACTGTTCAAATGTATTTTCTGTAACACAAACATTCTTCCAATGTTTTTCTTTTCCCCTTATAAATTGTAATTCCTGGAATACTGCTGCTTTAAAAAGTCTCAGAGTCATTTTATATGATCTAACAATGGAATATTATAAATACACTAGTCTTACCTCTCAATAAAAAGGTACTTTTCTGTGGAAAAGAAAGAAAGAAAGAAAGAAAGAAAGAAAGAAAGAAAGAAAGAAA